GTAGATTCTGGATATTAGACCTTTGTCAGATGGATAGATTGGAAAAATTTTCTCCCCTTTCGTAAGTTGCCTGTTCACTCTGATGATAGTTTCTTTTGCTGAGCAGAAGCTCTTTAATTAGATCCTATTTGTCAATTTTGGCTTTTGTTGCAATTGCTTTTGGTGTTTTAGTTATGAAGTCTTTGCCCATGCCTATGTCCTGAATGGTATTGCCTAGGTTTTCGTCTAGGGTTTTTATGGTTTTATTTCTTTCTCTTGCCTGATTGCTCTGGCCAGAACTTCCAATACTATGTTAAATAGGAGTGGTGAGAGAGGGCATACTTGTCTTGTGCCGGTTTTCAAAGGGAATGCTTTCAGCTTTTGCCCATTCAGTATGATATTGGCTGTGGGTTTGTCATAAATAGCTCTTATTATTTTGAGATATGTTCCATCAATACCTAGTTTATTGAGAGTTTTTAGCATGAAGGGGTGTTGAATTTTATCGAAGGCCTTTTCTACATCTATTGAGATAATCATGGGGTTTTTGTCATTAGTTCTGTTTATGTGATGGATTATGTTTATTGATTTGTGTATGTGGAACCAGCTTTTTTTTTTTTTTTTTGAGGTGGAGTCTCGCTCTGTTGCCCAGGCTGGAGTGCAGTAGTACAATCTTGGCTCACTGCAACCTCTGCTTCCCGGATTCAAGCAGTTCTCCTGCCTCAGCCTCCCGAGTAGCTAGGACTACAGGCGCATGCTGCCACTCCTGGCTAGTATTTTGTATTTTAGTAGAGACGGGGGTTTTACTGTGTTGCCCAGGCTGGCTGGTCTCAAACTCCTGAACTCAGGCAGTCCGCCAGCCTCAGCCTCCCAAAGTGCAGGGATTATAGGTGTGAGCCACCGCACCCAGCCTCTTTCATATTTTTTACACTTTTCTTCTTCTTTTAGTGTGCTGGATAGGGGCTCCAGAACAGAATTCAGTAGACGTCGTGACAGTAGGAATCCTTATCTTGTCCTGATTTTAAAGAGGATTAAAAAAACAAAAAAAAACCTGTACTATTGCCTGTGATGTTTGCCTGTTGGGTTTTTGTAGGTATTCTTTATGATGTTAAGGAAGTTTTTGTCTCTTCCAAGTTTGCTAAGAGATTTTTTTTTTTTTAATTGTGAGTCGAAAAAAAGAAAAAGACTAGAAAGAAATGCAATAAAAATAGTTACCTCTAAAAAATTATTTTGTACATACATTATCCATTTTGTGAACCTTAAATAGAAACTCAGTGTTATCTAATAGGTAAGTGAGTTGGAGTTTTCAGAGGTTTTCATTTTAAAATGAAAATTCAGAGATTTTCATTTTAAAAATCAAATTTTGAAATTGTTTCTGATTTTATTGTTATTAACTTTGTAAGTGGTTTGAGTTAAACCTGTTTCATGTAGTCTGATTATCCACTGGGAGGCTGTCAGCCTGGCCTTTCTTCTCTGTTCAGCGGCTCGTAGACCACACTGCCAAGCCCACTAGTCATTTGTAATTGGGTTCATCTCTTCCTTGTAGCCTTGTCCTTACTGTTTTCTAGCATGAAACTTCTAGGTCATTCAGCCAGGTTTACTTACCCTTGTCTGTGTGTGCTCATTCATTGATATAAAAAGACCTAGCAAAGTATCTGGCAGATAGCTATCATGCACTTATTTAATGTTGGTGTAATCATTCTAGTCTCCCAGCGTCTTCTCATGTTAATTACCCTCTTTCATTTTGGTCCACCTGAGTACTGTAATAGCCTGTTCAAGTTCTGGATGTGAAGTCTTTTCTCATTATTCCAGTGCAGAAGGATCTTTCATTTTTTGGAACTTATACTCATACTGGGCACCAGACAGCGTGTTGGTTTTCTTTGCCAAAGTGAACTAAAAGCCTGCTGAGGACAGGCATCTTTTCATCTTTTCTGTCTACCACAGCGTTAAGCTGTGAGGCATTTTACATGGTGCTAAAGAAAGACCGTTGTCTGACAGGAATTTTATATTGTCTTCAAAAGGAAAAAAGATAATAAGCCTAGGTATTAGCTATGTGGGTTTATTCAGAAATTATTAAGTGCAAAATGAAACGAGGAAATACTGCCTGTATCTCAGTTTTGTCCTTAGAACGTCATTTATGTTTTCTGTGCCAGGAATACCTAGGGTTTAGGTCCATCCTTGAGAAGCCCACCCGCTGGTCATACTTCTGAGGTCTTTGATTTTTATTATATGCTTTTCGTTTTAGACCCCTTCAGAGGGAGTTTCAATAAAGAAAGCAATGAAAATCTGATCTTTGCCTAAGGAGTAGATTATGAACTGTTGTAAATCCACAGAGAAGCACTTTGTCAGTAATGACGAAGTTTATGTTTTCCTGAAGTATGTTTTAATATCTGCAGCATTTTGGGAAAAAAATTAAGGAAGTTTGAGAAATCTCATCGCATTGACTTTCTGTTTTTATTTTCTATGTCTTTAAGTACCTTCTTAGAAATCTCTTGTTTCTCTAGTAGTTGAAATGATGGTCATTACAAATAAGCTAACTGGTATTTCTTCTAGTCCTTTTTTTGTATTAGTATTATTTTTTTAAGCTGGCTATCATGAGCTACTCATTTTATAGGATTATTGGGCTTCAGTCCTATATTAGGGGTTTAATTCGGATTTAAGCTTTAATAATTCTGTTCAAACTATGCTCTGAAATTACCATATTGAAGATAAAATAAGGCTTACCTGACTGTGGCTCTTGACAACTAGTAGTGTGTGGTCTTTAAAAGATACTGTGAAGAGTGTCATCAGATCTTTAGGAAAACTAACTGAAGAACATGACCTGTCACTCTTTGGGCTACTAAAGAGTTAGATTTTTTTTTTAAAAAAAAATGTATTATATACTGCTTTATTTATATATAATGATTCTTTGTTAGTCTTCTATCTGATTCTTGTTTCTCCATGTGCATCACTTATTATGTCTTTGTAATCAGATGTACTTTGATGTGGATTACGTCTTTGGTTTTCCTCTATTTAGAACCCTAGTCAGAACTCATATTGAACTGAATTGGATTATAGGTTATAGGCCTGTTCTGAGCTTTTCAATTTATTACTTATTTTAATACAACAACCTATGTCCTAAATGCTGGTATTATCCCTAGTTTATGGATGAGGAAACTGAGGTACTTGCCCATGATGACATGTTTAACTACTTATTCTACTGTTTATTGTCTCTAATGTGTGCAGAATACTAATTTAGTCCCTATGCTGAGGTAGGAGGTGTTTCTAGGTAAGCATATCTGAGCTATCTTGGGACAACTTGTCTTTTACCATCCTGTGATCTACTGGGGAGACCTGGATCAAGAGATAGCTGATTACAGCTTTGGTCCTAAGTTTTATACAAAATCTTAATTTTTAAAAGACAATAGTCACCAAATCTAATGGTATGAAAGCCTAATTGGCTTAAAAGTTAATTCTTTTCAAAAACTTAGTCAGCAACAAATTGTCAGTTTTGTTCTCTTTAAAATAAATAGTCTGGCCGGTCACAGTGGTGCATGCCTGTAGTTACAGCTACTTGGGAAGCTGATGCAGAAGGACTCCTTGAGCCCAAGAGTTGGAGACTGTAGTGCACAATGATCACACCTGTGAATAGCCACTGTACTTAAGCCTAGGCAACATAGTAAGACCCTGTTTGTACAAAAAATGAAAAAATTAGGTAGGTGTGGTGATATAACACTTTAACAGTCCTAGCTGCTCAGGAGGCTGAGGTGGGAGGATCACTGTAACCTCAAACTCCTTGAGCCTAGGAGTGTGAGGTTACAGTGAGCTATGATTGCGCCACTGCACTCCAGCCTGGGTGATAAAGCAATACCAGACCCTGTCTCAAAAAAAATTAAAAGTCATATTTATTATTGGTCTAATCTTGTGTGGAGAAAGACACCATGTAGGAAAGCCACTGGGTGACATTCTGGCAAATTCCATGGTTCTAGGCTTGAAGTGAAGCCTAGTAATTTTTCAGGAGGTCATTTACACCACATCTTGCATTGTCATTAACAATTTTATGTCTCTAAAAGGTAATACGGGTTATTTTTTAATGGGTATGGAGTTTCCATTTGGGAAGATGAAGAGTTCTGTAAATGCATGATGGTGATGGTTGTACAAAAGTGTGAATGTACTTATGCCACTTAATTGTACACTTAAAAAGGGTTACAATGATAATTATCATATATATTTTATCACAATATAAAAGAAAAAAATATTTAAAAGAAGGAAAAAAGGTAATTATTTCACCTAGACCTGTGTGTGTGGTGTTGTTTTGTGTAATTTTTTTCTATTGGAGTTGAATGGTGTGAGCTATAACAAAACGCACTGAGGTTTGTGAAGATGACATAGGAAGGCAGTTCTAGTGTAATAGTTAAAGATGGTCACCTCTGGAGCCAGACTACCTGGCTTCATGTTCTGGTTCCACTGCTTACTTGCTGTATGACGTTGGATAAGTTTCTTAGCCTTTCTGGGCCTCAGTTTTTCAGCTGTGAAGTAGAGATAATGATAGTACTTATTTCATGGAATTATTGTGAGAATTAGATGAGCTATTACTAAAAAAAAAAAAATGCTTACAGTGGCCGGGAACAGTGGCTCAAGCATGTGATCCCAGTATTTTGGGAGACTGAGGGGTGGATCACCTGAGGTCAGGAGTTAGAGACCAGCCTGGTCAACATGGTGAAACCCATCTCTACTAAAAATACAAAAAGTAGCCGGACGTGGTGGCAGGTGCCTGTAATTCCAGCTACTTGGGAGGCTGAGGCAGGAGAATGGCTTGAACCCAGGAGGTGGAGGTTGCAGTGAGCTGAGACTGCGCCACCGCACTCCAGCCTGTACAACAGAGCAAAAATCCATCTCAGGAAAAAAAAAAACCGTTCTGTCACATGGTGAGTGCTAAATGAATGGACCCCTAGACCTGGGTTCTAGACAGTGTTACTGATATAAATACACTTGCGAATATAAACATAAATTGGACATTTGTTTTTGCTTTTTTTTTTTTAAAGGTAAAAGAAATAGGAGATTACTTTAAACAACACCTTTTGCAGTCCAGGCACAGAGGAGCATTTGAACTGGCTTATACTGGTTTTGTGAAACTAACTGAAGTACTAAACAGGTAAAACAAATATCCTTTTGTGTACGTTTTAAAAAGACTAAATATACAAAGCATGTGCTTGGAGTAGAATTTAGCTGTGTCTTTTGATGTCTAAAAGAATAAGACCTGGTTGACTACAAAACTCTTGGAAGAAATTGTTTTCTTAGGTTTCATTGTATGATTTACTGCAGATGATTGATTGAAATGTCCAAACTGAGTTATTATTCTCTCATTGAAAGGTGATTTGAAGCAAACTCAAAAGATTTTGCTAAAAATAGCTTTGAAATTACTGTTTTTTTTTTTCTTTGAATGAGATAAATGTTTTGTCTGTTTGAAAATTACTTGGGGTTTGTATTAGAGAAGCACTTAAAGATTTTGTTTTTTTTTTCTTCATAAATTTATCTTATAGAAAAGTTTAAAAGAACAGTAAGTAGACTGAAAAGTAGAAAAGATTTTTTTTCCTTTTACCTGGAAAGCTAATACTTAGATAGATTTCATATATTTAACCAAATGTATTTCTTGACATTATAGTTACAGATAATTTCATTCATCCATGTAATATATTTCCTCCAAAGAGCTTGTGAGGAAACCTTAAATTACTTAATGACTAAGTGTTCATGGCAAGTGTTCTCTAAATAAAAGGTAGTATTTTCCAGGAAAACATTTCCATTGCCTGGAAACTTTTTGAAATGAAGCAGAGTTCTGCCAGCCTTGTAGCCTCAGCAAACATTTTATTTTGGACTGTTAAGACATCTATTCCTTGAATATTTTTGAAACTTTTTTTTTCACATGCCTGGTAAAAACATTTATGAAACATTTTGGCAGTTAGGAGCTGCACAGAATGTCTTTAAATGATACTTTTTTAGAAGTCCCTGACATTAAACTGCTGATCTTGAAAATATTTTATCTTTTCAACTTTTTGTTTCCAGTGTAGACATGACTTATGAACATTTTTTTTTTCCTCAAAACACACTCCGCTCCCATCAAATCAGTTAACAAGAATGTATGAATACCAGCAGTGTGCTTAGTACTGTGCTTGGTTTGGATGATATTATGGTTTTTTATAAGATGAAGTTCCTGTTATTAAAGAGCTTATGGTTTAGTTTGAGAAATAAGTAGAGATGAAATTCAAAATATTTAACAAAAGGTATGTTGTGAGCACTGACTGGTCAGAACCAACACTGGGTATATGCAGCACCCAGCATCTCTCTATGTATGGATGTGTATGGACTGAATACCAGCCTGGAAGTAAGACCAACACACTTGAAAAAGATAACACTGCGCAATTTTGGGTGAAATTTATAAATCATATTTATATATAAATCATATAGCAGAGAGAGAAAGCAATGGGGATAGGCTGGTAGGGCTTCATGGAGGAGGTGGAATTTGTGCTAATGCACAAGTTGAAAGAAGGAAACATTGTGAGTAAATGTTCAGAGCCTAGAATCGGCAAGGTGAATAAATAAGCCAACCTTCCTGTAGAGGTGGAGTTAGTAGGAAATAACCAGGCAAGTTGATAGATTGAGGCCAAATTATAGAGTGTCTTGGAAATAGATTTACTGTAGCAGGGATGGAGAGAAGCATCAAACATTTTTGCTCTGAAATAGATCATAGGAGGCATTATAGAATGGAGGAATAGCAGTAAATCTGTGACTCAGGCTCTTAATTCTGTGTATATTCATTCCATTTACTGGCAGTGAGACTGTACAAAAATTAACCTCCCTAACCTTTGATCTCTTCATCTTTAAGGAAAAGGGTATTTGCCCTATTGACAGATCTCTCTGGCTTTTGTTGTATGAATCAAATAAAATAGATATTTATGAAGACCCATTTGCATTATAGAATTTCCTACAAATGTAAAACATGAGATTGATGTTGGTTGTGGGGTTGGCATGCAAAAGTAGTTTTCTGGTTGGAAATGTTAGGTTAGATAGATTGTAATGACAGATTATAGTAAGGAGAGCCTGGAATCAGTTATAACAAAGTAGATCTGAGGTGATGAGGGCTTCCTCTTGGGTGATGGCTCTGGGAGTAGAGACAAACGTGGGGTTTTAGTTAACTTTTGGCCCCACATAGATAGTAACAACTCCTCACATGATGTATTGAGTGCTTAGAAGGAAAGCTGTGGACACATTTTGTTACATTCATGATTTTGTATCTCAAGAATTCGGGCAGGGCTCAGCTGGGTGATTCTTCCTTAGGGTATTTACTGAGTTCAATTGGTGGCATTCAGCTGGCAGACAAACTGGTCACAAGGGACCTAAGACAGCTTCACTCACATTTATGGCACCTTGGTGGGACTAGCTAGAAGACTGGGCCTAATTGGGACTACATGTGGCCTCTCACCCCAGCATGGCAGTCTTGGGGTTGAAATTCTTATATGGCAGCATGCTTCCCCCAGAGAGAATATTCCAAGAGAACCAGCCAGAAGCTGTATGATCTTTTCTGACCTAGTCTTGGAAGTCTCATTGCATTGCTTTAGTCACATTCCTTTGATTTTAAGTGCATTTTAGGGTCAACCTGGATTCAATCCACCTTTTGACGGCAAAGTGGCAAGATCATGTTGTAGAAGTATATGTAGATAGGAGATGTTGTGGTAGCCATCTTTGAAAAATGCCATCTGCCACATGAACCAACTGAATGTGAGTAGTGGAGGTTACCAGGGAGTTCATGGTTCCTTCTGTGATTCTAAGTCTTGGTCACCAGACAAAGGGGGTTGATGTTAACAAAACCAAGGAAGTTGAAAGAGGGAATGGTTTGATAAAGATGAGTAAGTTTTTTTGATTTTTTATGTGTTAAGTATGAGATAATGATGGCATACCCTGATGGAAATATTTAAGTCAGCTGTTAGAGATAGAGGATTAGTTTGGGTGATATAACAGAGATGTAGATTTGTGAGTTTTCTCCAAAAATATCATAGTAAGATTGCAGTCTTTGATGGAGAGCATGAAAGGAGAAAGAACAGAGGACTAAGGACAGAGGCTTTTGAATAACTGTGGTTGAATGGTACAGTTGAAGGCATTCCAAATAAATGGAGTGGGGAGACTAGGGAAGGCCCAATGCCTGGTATCTTAGCCACTCCTCATCTACTTTAAATATGTTCTCATGGCTGTTACTGTTGGCTTTTAGCCAACCTGTTAGGAGTTCTCAATTGTTGCTTTCAAACCAAGTAGTTCTTGATCCCTTGAGAGACATTTCAAATCTGCTGAACAGAATGTTTTGCAGAGAACATCTTTACAGTGTGTGTGGCTTCCTTTTGTTTGGTTTTTATTTTTAAAAGAAAATGTTTCTTTTGGAGTCCTTTTGAAAGCGTTTTATAAGCTCTTAAGTTATGAAAAAGTTGTTTAGGTATACAACATTTTAGAAGTTTGCAAAGAGAAATCTGGGCATTCATGAAAATCCACAGAAATGGAGGCCAACTGCTTTCCACCTCTTGAGCTACAGCTGTGTTAAGGAAGGAAGCACTTAAAGAGATTAATGGATAAATAACTGAAGAGTTAAACATGACCCACATTGTTTGAATTGGTTTTTAATAGGATTATGCAAAATGTCTTCAAATGTAAACTGACTTCACTATTAAACAATCATCTAAGAATAAATAGGGATGGAGACATTGTTATTTTTTCTGGGAATATTTTGAAAGCAACACTTGTAACACACATAACACACCAATAGTGTGTTGAGTTAATTTTCTGTAATCTGATTTTCTTATGTAGTGCTTTCTATTTAGAAGTCAGTGAAATATTCCTATTGTCCTTGAAAAACGTAATTGCCTGCCTGTGCTAATTACTTGTCTAAGCATTTGATTGGAGTGCTTAAGTTTGTTAATGTCATAAAACTCTAAATTCAACTTTTTGATGACATTCATATTTGCTTGTTTACTTTCTATGATTTTATTATTTGAAATCGTTCTTCTGATGAAAATGAACAGACTTCTAGGATGTTAAGTTGGGAATCTAACTTTCCAACCATAAGATACAAAGTTAACTATGAGGGGACAGAATCATTGATTATAATTCTGAATCTAGAAGGGAGATTTGTTAGTGCTTGGTGTTGTCTTACTCTTCAAATATTTGAATTGCTTTACTAGTTGAAATGTAGCTTAATCTTCAGATGTTTATTGCAGTAATTATAATCATTTTCGCATTATTGGCCTGAAAAAATTAAATTGTGACATTTAGCAGTTTTTGTCATAAAATACTAGTACTTATTCATGGACATCAACAATTCTGTGGACAGAAATCATTTAAATATGTATTTAAACTTTCATCAGTTAATTATAACTACAATGATTCAAATTAAACAGAAAACTTTTAATGAGCAATTTAAATATAATAGTGAAAAAATAATTTCTTCTACCTTTCTGGAGAATGAAATACCAAGTCTCTAAAGAATATGCAGTTGAGAAAGAAAGAAATGCAAAATGTAATGTTTAAGATTTTGGGGAAAAGTCATTCAACTTTGAATGAGAGAATATACAATCTTGTATAAACTTTATTTTTAATTTATTTATTTGAGACAGAGTCTCTCTGTTGCTGAGGCAGGAGTGCAGTGGCATGATCTTGGCTCATTGCAACTTCTGCCTCCTGGCTCAAGTGATCTTTCTGTCTCAGCCTCCCAAGTAGCTAGGACTTACAGCTGCCTGCCACCACACCTGGCTAATTTTTGATTTTTTGTAGAGACGGGGTTTCGCCATGTTGCTCAGGCTGGTCTCAAACTCCTGGGCTCAAGCAGTATCCCCATCTCAGCCTCCCAAAGTGCTGGGATTACAGCCATGAGCCACTGCGCCCAGCCTAAACTTTTATTTACATTTCATTTGGCAAATGTGTCTAAATAAGACACTTATTTCTCACTGAGTATCCTATTAATTTTATTTGAAATATGAATACTTAAATAAAGAATAAGAGATGAGCCACCCTGGGGAGCCATATTCTTTATATAGAGAAAAATCCTTTTAATTTCCCATTTCTATTGTGGATTAAAAGACTCTGGAGAAAACTCGAATGTCTTGATGTATAAAT